ACCAGAAAGGAAGCAGCTAATACACGATAACTCATACGTCAGCAATTTTTTATCGTTTAGACAGTTGATTTACCTTTCCTTAAAACAAAACATCGTACAATGCAATATAGGATAATTTAAATTTTTTGTGATTTAATTAAAATCTAATATTCTATGGAAGGGAATTACCGCCAAAAGTCTATTTATCTTGCTTTTATTCTTATTCTGCCTACTTCTTTATTCTTTGTTATTATTGTAACTATATGTCACTTTATTGTTTTCATATTCGTCTTTATTACATTTCACTTTGAACTTTTTTCATTCTTCATTTTGTCCTTACTTCTATGGTGCTTTATTCTTGTAAATTCGTTCTTCTTTCTTTTAAATTGATACAGTTTCTTTAATAAATAATTATGATCATCTCTATTACAAATGTAAATTCAGTCACGCAAACCATGAATCGCATTCAAAGAAGACGAATACAAATAGTGTGAATTTAATGCGGCATTATAACGCTAGGTGGCAGGGTGTTCGCTGCGAGTGTTGGCAAAATTAGGTACGCAAACCCGGGCCGAGGTTATTCGAGATTTTTCAGTTTTCTGCCTTTAGTTAATACTTTATCGGTCGAACCAAAATTTTCAAATATGTATGTTATAGGTTCAGACATGTACCCGGTGTCGTTCCCCCCTGAAGGCTGCCTAGATGGTAATTAAGACTTCCCCCGGAAGACCAGCTATATAGTGAGACTTCTCCAGGGAGTAGTCTCACTATATAACCAGTATTCCCCCTTCATAGCGAAACTTCCCCCTTTAATTTAGTTTCCGAATATTTATTTTATTGTAAAACAATGTTTTTATACTAACGTTTTCAGTGTTTGGATAAAAGTTATCCGTCCTATATGAATGAATAAATTAATAAATATATGAATAAATAATTAAAACATTTTAACAGTGATTTTTATAATTAAAACTTCTTAACCATGCAGGTAAACATAATTAAACTGCACGTTTCTACGGGTAATGACCTCTTTACTGTTAAACTTATTATGTCTTTTTTCTTTTGATAAGAATCGTCTCGGAACAATACTATAATCTGCTGTGCACGATAAATTTTTAATGCGCACTTTTATATTGATTCATTTGAAACTATTCATCTTATATTTATATATATATATATATATATATATATATATATATATATATATATATATATATATATATATATATATATATATATATATATATATATATAAGATAATTACCTAAATATGCAATATATACATCATCGATGTAAATAAAATCGAAACTGACCAAACACGAAAGGGGAAGTCCCTACTATGGTCGTTTAGGGCGGAAGGCTCACTATATAGTCATCCCTCCCCCAATGGAAGTCTCACTATATAGCCAGACTTCCGGGGGGAAGACTCATTATGGGGTAAGTCTCACTATATGACACCGGTAGCGGGGGGGGGGGGGGGGCTGATCACCAAACATTTTTCTAGCCATAACTTTTTACTACTGAAAATGTTCAATGAAAGTCTGGTTGACCCCCTCCCACTTTTTGTTTAAGCTTAGTCAAAGAAGGGTCATGTACGTAGTGACGTATGAGTAAAATTTGGTACTGAAAGAAGTAGGACCCCCCCTTCCCCCCAAATAGAATTTTCGAGTTTGAAGAATTTTTCTCTTTTTTTTTTTGTTTGTATGTTTGTTTGTTTTGTTTTGTTTTGTTTTGTTTTGTTTTTTTGCTTGTCAAGATTTTTAGGTAAGTTGTTTTTTTTTCTCTGGCTGCCCCTTTCAAAAACAATGCTACGTCTCTAAATTTTATCTGTATTTGCTGTAAAAATTGCCAATATTTATATTCATGTATTTATATTTTGAAAATCTCAATATTTTAGATTATTTTTGGCGATTTTTGATTTTCAATTTGCTAAGATGGATAGGCAATATCAAGCCGACATTTTACGTATTTTTTGCCAAACGAGACATTGACAAATAATTGTTTGAGTTATTCTGATGTCAAACACTGTGTGCTTACTAGAAATATTTATTTCTTTATTGAAAAGTGCTATTTCTATACAAAAAATTAATACACTGATTTTCATAAAAACCGGGGAAAATTTCTGATTTATGCCCCGGTTTAGCCTGGTTCCAGCCACGCCTACCCATGACTTTCCGCACTACTTTGCAGAGCATTATGGGTTGGCCAAAACCAGACTAGCCCCGCGGTCCCCAGAATCAAGCGACTGCGCATGAACAGTTATTATACTGAAATAAAGAAATGTCAGTTCAGTGGAAGAATATATAGGGGTCCTGAAAAACAACTCAATTTATAAGGGTATACTAGTAATTATCAAAATATTTAATATTTTTTTTATATCAATAAAACTGAAATTCAATCATCCAACAAATAACTTGAATAGAGTTACTTATTTTTTTCAGGTGACAGAAAATACACAATTATTTTGAAGTTTTCATCATTGGTCCGGTTTTAATGACCCAGATTTTCTTAAAACGTGTTATTTAAAGCAACAAAAGCACATTTGAAAGAAGAAATGCTTATAAATAGTTAAAATATAATGTTTAGCATCAGAATAATTTATAAATTTATTAGCTTTTTGTCAAAAAAAACCCCACTAAAAATGTCAGCTTGATACTGTCTTCCAAAAACTTGCAATTGGAAATCAAATAATTTTCTTCGAGAAAATCTAAAATATTGAGCATTTCGGGGCAATTTTACCGCGTATACAAATAAACCTATAACTAACATAACTTGAAAATTTCGGTTCGATTGATAAAGTATTAACTAAAGGCAGAAAATTGAAAAATCTCGAATAACCTTGGCCCGGGTTTGCGTACCTAATTTTGCCAACACTCGCTGCGAACACCCTGCCACCTAGCGTTATAATGCCGCATTAAATTCACACTACTTGTATTCGTCTTCTTTGAATGCGATTCATGGTTTGCGTGACTGAATTTACATTTGTAAAAGAGATGATCATAATTATTTATTAAAGAAACTGTATCAATTTAAAAGAAAGAAGAACGAATTTACAAGAATAAAGCAACATAGAAGTAAGGACAAAATGAAGAATGAAAAAAGTTCAAAGTGAAATGTAATAAAGACAAATATGAAAACAATAAAGTGACATATAGTTACAATAATAACAAAGAACAAAGAAGTAGGCAGAATAAGAATAAAAGCAAGATAAATAGACTTTTGGCGGTAATTCCCTTCCATATTATTCATGTATGTATAAGCTTTGCTCTACTTTAAGAATTTTACGTAGATCTACCTGTAAATCTATATATTAAGGACAGATGATACAAACAAACAGAAAAGGATGTCTGGATTGGTATATATTTCTTCACTTATTTTGATTGTAAATGATTAGCATAATAAAATTCTAAAATATTAAGAAAATATAAATTTTCTACGATGCTTAAATTCCACCTTTCTGCAACCACCTTATTAATCTACAGAACTTTTTGTCACTTAAAATCCAATTATAGTAAAACTTTGAATGAAAAATAAAAATCTATGCGGTTAAACTTAAATTCATTTTACTTAATATATAAACATGATTTAAGCTGTCACTTTCAAGATTTTTGAAAAAAAGTTTGTTTGTATCATCTGTCCTTAAATGTTTTTTTACCATAGGTGTCACTTGAAAAATTAGTTGAAAGGCCTACATCGATTGTAGTATCAACACCATTAAATGTCACCTTTTTTTCCTAAATTAATTAACGGTGCCTGTGAATGTAATTTCAAAGGCTTCTAGCATGGTCTTTTTTTCTTTTTCATATTATGAGGTTAAGCTGTTGCATATCTAATCACTCTTCTTCAGAATCTGAACTTTCAGAAAACTGTTCTGCAAGGTTGAGATCGGGACAATAAGTAGGTTAGAACAAATAATCAAAACCAATTATAGTGGGTAGCCAAGTTCTAAGGTGATGAATAGGTGCATTGTCTACCATAGGACTTAACTCCCAGGTAGAATGCTGAATTTGCTTCGTATTTGGTGCTTCTCCAATGCCACCTGTATATTGAGAATAATCTGTTTGTCCATCAATAATAGAAGCCAGTTAACACCTTTTATGCAGTATCCCAACGTTTCCAGCGCAAGTGTCCTAATACCATGCTGATTTAATGTCGTGTGTCGAGTTACTCACAAGCACCTGACGAATGGATGGTGTAAAAACAACAACAACAACCCCCTTCAGAATCTGGGAATTTTTGTTAGACACAACCTTCAGAATCTGGGAATTTTTATTAGACACAAAAACACCACCACCACCCCCCCCCACCCTTTAGCTTCTGGGAATTTTTATTAGACACAAAAGCAGGGCGCCCCGCTTCGAAGAAGAAACAAGAATAATTATCAACTCTCTTTAAAGTCATCATTTCGTAAGGTCGATACAATGACCTTGTCAGCAAATACAATCTATCATTAGGTCGTATGCTGACTGACGTTTTTCATTCTAATTGTTAGGCCAATTATTTAAACACAGAATTATCGACGGATTTTTTCCGTTATTTACCGATCATGACAAGGAGCACACAGGATGTGACTGGTCGGCAGGGAATGCTCACTCCTCCATGGCAACTGACCCCACCTCTGATCTTTTTGGAGATCCGTGTTTACTCTGCTTTCCATTTGTATTGTTTAAATTTAATGGACTTTGAGCTTCAATACTGTTCGTTATCTCCTTATTTCATTTTATGATTGACTCAGTATATCACTTGATGTATGAAACTCATAACGGCAAAGTATATCAGTGGAAGTATGAGTTTCATCATTAATCGATATCAAAGCATTAACCAACTAAATTGCAAATGACTACATGTATAATGACATAGACTGTTAGGTTAGACATCCAATGACTACTGTGTCATTTAATATATAAGGTTTATGTCATTTAAGAATAAGGCCATAGTCTGTCAGATGAAGTTAGAATATTATGACTACTGAAACACTTCAACTGAAAATATTATAAAGACTCTCAATTGACATATTAGACTATATATATTTGTTCATGTAATAACATTATTTTAAAATAGCAATGTAGTAAGTTATTTGTAACAAATACATGTAATAACGACTGCGATACAAATATGGTTTGTTAGTTGATACATGTACATGTAATAACGATTGCACTAAAAGTATGGCCTGTTAGTTTTCATAAATGTATGTAATAATGATTACAATAACAACTTGATCCGTGAGTTATCACATATGCCTACACATTTCCATGTAATAACGATTGCCATAACAATATACACATGTACTCTGTTAGTTGTCATATAACTTATCAGTGAAAAAAATCGCCAGAAAATCTACAAAATTAAAAAAATATTTTAATGCAATCTCAAGGTGGCCAAAGAAGATTGGTTTAAAAGAATATATGCATATTTTGAATTACAGTTCAATTAAATACAATGTGTACATAATCCAATGGTTCATTTTCCTTGAGCAACTCCCTTTACAAGCATTGGTCCATCTTTGTGCAGGTAGAGACAGGGCCAAACCAGATATCTGTATTCTGTTCCGGTATTTTTATAAGCTCTGTATTTTTCAGTATCGAATTTCCCGTTCGGAATGCTGACGTCCATGTAAAGTGGTGGATCTTCGAAACACTTAAACCAGCAAAATATTGCACATGCCCCAGCGTACATGGTAGTTGCTTTTCCAAAAGTCTTTCCGGAAGTCTTCTGACTGTGCAAGAATTTCTAAGAAATAAAAAAAAAAATAAAAATAAAATTCAGTGTTACGATTATCCAAGTTACCTTATTCGTTTATATAAAAAGTCATGTTCATCACGTGTTACATGTACATTTGTAGGTACATGTACCCAATAAATTTATCTAAGCAATATTCTTATCGGTTTTGTTCCACAGTGTATGTAATGATACTAGATTAAATGTATATAGAATATACAAGTTACTGTCATTCAGAATAAAATCCGTGTATTGATAAAGAAAATCAGTATATAACTATATTTATTCCTTCTAACAGGGGTCTTCTATTTTAGACCCATTTTGAGAATGGTACCCTGATTTTAAACCTGAATCATCATTGAATATAAATTTGAATCATCAAAATTTGGCATCTTCATTTAAATGCTCCATTTTCCAGGAATCTTAGTACAATTTTTTTAGGTCTCATCCAGACCGATTTGCTTAAACCGGAGTCGCTTCCATGAGAATGCTTGCATTTTGCAGGCCTATAGTACACCAAAGGAGGGATTTGTGACCCACACTTTTTCTGAGTCAATTACCAGTGTCGAATAACGAGACTTCCCCCATTGTGAGACTTCCCCCGGAAGGCTGGCTATATAGTGAGACTTCCCCCCCGGAAGACTTGCTATATAGTGAAACTTCTCACTATATAGCCAGTCTTCCGAGAGGAAATCTCATTATGTAGCCAGTCTTCTCCCCCTTCACAGCGAGACTTCTCCCTCAAATATGGTTTCCGGAATAATATGTTTTATTGTAAAACAATGTTTTTATACTAATATTTTTAGTGTTTCAATAAAAGTTCTCTATCATATGAATTTTAAGATAATTAGAACATCTTAACGATAATATCTTTAATTTTTTTTAGTTTCCCTATTTGTTTCATCATTCAAATGATACAACGTATTTTGAATAGTGATGAGAACAGATTCTACATACTTAGGTTATTTCTCAGATTTGTGAAAACAGCATTACGTAAAAGACACAGGGTCATGCAATCTAATAACCTATTTGTTTTTAATTTATTTAATTTTACATATATCTGTAGTTAGTGTAATAGTGTATGCATCATACTTAAAACATTGCCATTTAATTTCAGCGATTAATGAATTTATAGAAGACATTCAGATTTTGAAGGATAATAGTACTGAAACACTTTGAAACTGATTTTATACTTATATCAATCTCATCGATGTTGGACTTCTAGAGTTAAATAAAGAATACAATAAATTAGCTAAATAAAACGGTTCCTAATGCAAATATATACTGAAAGGAGAAAGAAACGTATATTGACATTGACTTTAGAAATTTTAATCACAATTCGAATAATGATCAACAAAATAAATATAATGTTAAATTTAGACATACAAACAATGTAACTCAATAAAGAAATGTTGGACACTTTGGTATTTTACGCAAAAAAGACATTCTTTAGGGGGCGGGGGGGGGGGTGTCTTTCCTCAGAATTCAGTAATTAATACCGAATGTGTCCATCGCGTGCTCCAATTGCTGCACGGATTCTTCTCTGCATGGAGTTTATGAATCTGTTAACTGTTCTTATTGGGATGTTACTCCACTCTTCTGTCACAGCTTGTGCAAGTTCCTCAGTGTTGTTCGGAAGATTTTGACGCTGTCGAACTCGTCTATCAATAGACAGAACGTTCTATCGTTAAAATGATATTGTCCTACGGACCCGGTTTAACGATAGAATTCGTTCCGTGTATTGGCAATGTTGCAAAATAAACCCGGGCGATAACTCGAACTCTGTGCATTTTCTATGAACAATCCAGAGAGTTACGAATGTCAACATGGCGTTAAATTTGAAGCGAGGAAAAAACGTTGAGAAAATGAGTTGAATTTTCGTATTTATATGGATTTTTTTTTAGGTTAAAAGGCATATACAATCTCAAAAGGTTTGTCATGATTAATTTGGTAGTTATTTTCACTGCAACTCCTTTTGTTTTCTTCAAAATCATTTCGGAGTGGATCCACTCCGATTTGCTACATTGCAAGTATATGGAACGTATTTTAACTGTGGTGAGGGCTTGTCCCGAGACACAGTTAGATTATTCTAACTAGTCTATCAACCTTATTCCATAAGTGTTCGATGGGGGAGGGGTATGTATGGAGGCCATTCAAGTGGTACAATGTTGTTTGTTGTCAGAAAATCGCGACATATCCGTGCAACATGTGGGCGAGCATTGTCCTACTGTAGAAGAAGATTGTACCGACGCACAAAGGGAACAGCGTATGGTTGCAGGATGACACCTCGATAACGTATAGCCGTTAGAGAGCCGTCAACAACCACTAAAGACGTCTTAAATCCATGAGATATTTGACCCCACACCATTATGGACTCTCCCCCAAATCGATCTCGCTCCATGACGCATGCGTCGGAAAAACGTTCACCCTTGCGCCTATACATCCGCCTCCTTCCGTCTGCTCGGAAAAGGGTGAATCTAGACTTGTCAGAGAATAACACATTTCTCCAGCGTTTCAAGGGAAATCTGTTGGGACGATGTCTATGTGACCAGTCCATTCGAACATCCCTACGGTTGCGCGTCAATTGCAAACCTTTGTACGGCCTGCGCGCTCTAAGACCCGCCTCCCTCAGCCTATTTCGTACCGTTTTAGCTCACCTGAGCCGAAGGCTCATGTGGGCTTTTCTGATCAAAATTTGTCCGTTGTCCGTCGTCGTCGTCGTTGTCGTTGTAAACTTTTCACATTTTCATCTTCTTCTCAAGAACCACTGGGCCAATTTCAACCAAACTTGCCACAAAGCATCCTTGGGTAAAGGGGATTCAAGTTTGTTCAAATGAAGGGCCACGCCCTCTTTCAAGGGGAGATAATTAGGAATTAGTGAAAAAATAATGGCATCATTTAAAAATCTTCTTCTCAAGAACCACTGGGCCAAGAAAGATGAAACTTATGTGGAAACATCCTCAGGTAGTGTACATTCAAATTTGTTCAAATCATGACCCCCGGGGATAGGGTTGGGCCACAATGGGGGATCCAAGTTTTACATAGAAATATACAGGAAAATATCTTTAAAAATCTTCTTCTTAAGAACAGTAAAGCCAATATTGGTCATATTTATATGGAAGCATCCTCAGGTAGTGTAGATTCAAGTTTGTTCAAATCATGACCCCTGGGGGTAGGGTGGGGCCACAATGGGGGATCCAAGTTTAGATAGAAATATATAGGAAAATATCCCTAAAATCTTCTTCTTAAAAACAGTAAAGCCATGATTGGTCATATTATATGGAAGCATCCTCAGGCAGTGAAGATTCAAATTTGTTCAAATAATAACCCCCAGGGGTAGGGTCGGGCCACAATGAGGGATCAAAGTTATTCATAGAAATATATAGGAAAATATCGTTAAAAATCTTCATCTTAAAAACAGTAAAGCCATGATTGGTCATATTCATATGGAAGCATCCTCAGATAGTGAAGATTCAAGTTTGTTCAAATCATTACCCCGGGGATAGGTTGGGGCCACAATAGGTGATCAAAGTTTACAGAGGAATATATAGGAAAAAGTCTTTTTCTCAAGAACAGAAAAGCCATGATTAGTCAAATTGATATGGAGGCATCTTTGGGTAGTATAGAATGAAATTTGTTCAAATGAGGGCCCCCGGGGGTAGGGTGGGGCCACAATAGGGGATCAAATTTTTACAAATGAATATATGGGAAAAAATGTCCTGCTCAAGAACAACAAAGCCATTTGTTATATTGATATGAAAGCATCTTCAGGTAGTTTAAAATTCAACACCCCCCTCCCTGTAAACTTTTCAATACTGTACTGATTTTTGCTTTTTTTCCTAGCCAATGTGCTCAGGTGAGCGATGTGGCCCATGGGCCTCTTGTTGCACTTATTCGTGCATTGTTACATCCTTAGAAATGAGCAGCAGTTTCTAAAGCCGTTTGGAAACGATTCCGTAGATGGAGTAGACAAATTTCTCTGTCTTGGCGCCGAGTCGTTACCCTCGGACGTCCACTTCTATGGCGATCGTTTAGACTTCCTGTTGTCAGCATCCGACGTCCAAGACGAGATATGGTTGACTGTGCAACATTAAATCGTTCAGCGACAGAAATTTGATCTTCCCCTCGTAAGAGTTACCCTATTGCTTCACCCCTCTGACGTTCGTTCAAGCGAGGCATTTTAGGAAGTTAATGTCAACACAAATAAAGTGCGGAATTTTTGCACATAAATGTCGAATATTCAAAAATGATCAACAGTGATTACAAATTGTAACAGATGTACTTTCGGCCCAAAATTGTTGCCAAAATTTCATGTTTGATTCGAACACGCTCTTTTCCTGGTTGAATAATGTTCCAATCATGAACCTCTAGCCAACACTCAGTAGAACAGCTAAAAACAATATTTAGCTCGCGTCCTCTTTTTATGTAAATAGAGTACCAAAAAGTAAAATATGCGTTTCTTTTTCCCTTTTCCAGAAAAGGGAAGGGGGAAATCTCACTATGGTCGTTTAGGGGGGAAGGCTCACTATATAGTCATTCTTCCACCTTGGGGGAAGTTTCACTATGAAGATAGACTTCGGGGGAGGGGGGTCTCACTATGGGGGAAGTCTCACCGGTATTATATATCTCTATCTTTTTTTTTTTTTTTTTTTTTTTTTTTTTTTTTTTTTTTTTTTTTTGAAAAACAATGCGACGTGCCTGTATTAAGAAATTAAATTCTTCCTTTCCCACAAACTTTGTACTAACATTTTCTCAGAATTTTGCACCATTTTGCTCATGTTTAAGGTTATACTATTACCCACCTTATTTAAAAAAACGTATTTCAGCTATTTCTTCCCTAAGAAACGTAAAGGTTTTTTTTTTAATTTTAGCTCGAGGAATAAATGAATATTATTCATTAACCATGCCATGTTTTACATTTTTCATCCTCAGCAAATATATCTCCTTTAAGTGTTTCTAAATGGTATACATTCGTTTGTTTATCCCAAAGAATGTTTTGTGGTAGGTTCGGTTGACATTTTGTGCACTGGTTCTTGCCCCTGGATCATGAAACATCTGAGCTTAAGGAAAAAATCAGTACATTGCGCTGATATAATTTAAAAAGTAAAACAGTCAAAATAAAAATGCAGACCCGTAGGAAGCAATTTCACTTTGAGGGGGCACAACCATACATTTTCAGTTTGGGGGGGGGGGGGGCACTATGAACTACCAAAATTCCTTGACAAGCAAAACAAAAAACAAAAAAGGTCATCAGACATTATTATTGAGGGGGCACAAGCATATAGCAGCTATGTTTTCTATAGTATTCTATATATCGGCAAAATTATTGGAGGGGGGCACAGCCCCCGTCCCCCCCCCATCCCCTCCCCCGGTTCCTACGGCCATGAATTGCTATTCAATATTAATTATTTTCAAAGTACTGTTTTGTGCAAATTTAGTGTCAGTTCACAAGTAATATACATCTTTCAGATGATTGACATTTTGACTTAAGTCTAGGTCTGTTTCATGATCCTTGGGCCTGGAGAAGAGACGACAGCTAAAGAGATGGCATTTGCTCAGTTACAATGTAAGCTTACGAGATTTGATAAAAATTCATATCTCAGCAAACATACCCCAACGAAAATGTGTGAAAGTGGCTCTTTCATACTGTTGTAAATGTTTTTTGCGATGTCTTTAAACTGTTGTACCACTCCTGGAGGCAAATTCTGAAATATTGCAATTGGAATCGGGGTTATCAATTTTATTTTTTTTTAAATAATTTATCAGTATATTGCAAATGTACAATTATTAACGTAGACATACATGTACATTACACATAAGTTATCTATGATAATAAGTGTAATATTTGTTAGTTTTTAATATATAGCAAAAAGTAAAATTCTTTTTAGAAATCAGATAAATGAACAACTTTGGGTGTACATGTTATGAAATAATTATATTGGTACTGACATTTCCATTCTGAATACCGTATAATCAGAATTTTTAGAGGGGTTTCAAATTTGGCATTATAAGCCAAGGTTCTGAGATCGCTAAAATTTACTCTGTATATGTTGTTGTAGCTTTCTCTCTTGAAATTATAAATCGCTAAAATTATTTATCGCTAAAAATATATTACCATTTTTGGGGGATTAATCGTTAAAGCGTCTCGCTAGAATTTCCACTTATACGGTATCATGAAAATGTTCAACGGGATAAAAACAAGGATTCTGGTTAAAAAAAAAACAAAAACAAAAAACAGGATGTGCTTTTGAAACAGGATTGTCTCAGAACGCAGCCGAGTTTAAATGAATCTAAATCTGCGAGCAATTTATTTAAAATTATTTTTCCCTATTAATTTTGAGGATCTCCTAATATATTCTCTGTTCGTTATCTATATTTATATTTAAGCCAGGTGTGAGATTCTAATGTTTCTCCACCATAAAGATACGAAACAGACAATATTTGTCTGCTTTTAATCCATGTGACCTTCACATTGTCCATATGACCTTGAAACAGGTCATTGCATAACCTTTAAGTATGTAGTTGAAGCTTCTGAATCATCGTTTCTAACATTTCTTGAATAAAATAACTATAGAGTAATCATTGACAGGTATTTTGCACTTAATTCCAGTTCTATTGACCTGTTTACAGCTCTGACTACCGATCTTATGATTAAAGCAAACTCCTTGATTACAAGTTACCTTTGTTACAAAATTCTATGTCTCCAATTTTTTTATTTCAAAAATTATAGACTTCGTTTAAGTTGGAAACAGTCAATGAATTTTAAAAAAATAAAATAAAAGAGACAGACGCACTACTAGTATGTCTCCGATATTTTGGTTTCGGGGGCTTAAAAATACAACCATAATAGAAATATGAAAGATAAGTATAAGAAAAACCTTTTCATTTGGTATCCCACGACCTGCTGTGAACGGTGACATGGAATTCTGAAACTCGATTACTTGCGTGCTCGAAAATACATTTGCATCCTAAAAAACATCAGTTTAAATCCATAAATGCATATATTATGTTTATCTTACGTAACACATAATTTCTTTTAACTATATTCAAAATAAAGGTACATTTAATACGTATGTAAGTCATGAACAAAGCTGGTCTCACTTATTAAATCAGCAAATAAATTTTCAAAGTATTCTAAAATTAAAATACCCAGAAATTTCTGATACATGTTAATCATATTAATTTTGGGCAAACTTTGTTCTTTTTCAATACCTGCCAATAAGTATATTAATTGTAATACTGAGTATTAGGTTTATGTGTATGGCACACCCACATCCAATGTAGTAAGAAATACTATGATAGCTCCTTTATTTTAGTAAATAATACTTAGTACTTTTATTGTAGTAAGTAATAAAAAGCTACTATCTTTATTGTAGCAAGTAATACTAACCTCGTACCTTTGTTGTAGTAATTAATAATAAGCTAAAACCTTTATAAAAGCAAGTGATACTCAGCTAGTACCTTTTTTGTATTAAGGAATACTAAATTTGTACATTTATTGTACAAAGTAATACTAAGCTAGTAACTTTATTGTATTTAGTGATCTTGAGCTAGTACCCTATTGAAGTAAGAAATATTAACCTAGTACATTTATTGCAGTAGGCAATACTTAGCCAGTACCTAAATGGTGGTAAGTTATACTAAGCTATTACTTTATTATAGTTAGGAATACTAAGCTAGTTTTTTTATTGTAATAATTAGTCCTAAGCTTTTGCCTTTATTATAGTAAAGATACTACAGTAAGATAGTACATTTTTGTGGTAATTAGTACTCAGCTTTTGCCTTTATTATAGTAAAGAATACTAAGATAGTATTTTTTTGTAGTATCTAGTAAGAGATACTAAGATAGTACCTTTTTTGTAGTTATAAGTAATAAGCTTTTGCCTTTATTATAGTAAATACTAAACTAGTGATTTTTTGCAGTAATTAGTACTAAGCTTTTGCCTTTATTATAGTAAAGAATACTAAGATAGTACCTGTTTTGTAGTAATTAGTACTAAGCATTTGCCTTTAATATAGTAAATGCTAAGATAGTACTTTTTTGTAGTAATTATACTAAGCTTTTGCCTTTATTATAGTAAAGAATACTAAGAGAAACCTTTTTGTAGTAATTAATACTAAGCTTTTGCCTTTATTATAGTATATGCTAAGATAGTACTTTTTTGTAGTAATTAGTACTAAGCTTTTGCCTTTATTATAGTAAGGAATACTAAGATAGTACCTTAAGTATAGTAAGGAGAAAGCTGATTCCATCCTCCTCACTCTTTCCTTCATTATCAATTTGCTCCTTTAAAGCATCCTTCCATATAATGTCGTAAAGTTCAGAGAATTTTGTTGCAAAATTAATCTTTTTTGGTCCTTTGCTTAGGTCTGCACTATTATGTTCAAACATGAGACAATAAAGGTTTTAAAAACAGGGCAGGAAATTTTCTGTCATTAATATAGCAAATAAATTAATTACATTCTGATATGTTTAAATATTATTCAAATTCAAGCTCCTTTTATTTTAGAGACAATATTTTCTAACCATTTCAATCAAGAACAATTCATTTCGAGGAGAGAAATGCATTTAACACAAGAAATATAATTTGAACTGTATAAGAAGTGACCCTTATAGAACTTTTTACATGTCACTTACTTTTCTGTTTGCCCCTCTTTCGCCAATGTTAGTTGCCTGCAAAAGAGGAAACACCGAAAGCTAGTGTTAATTTAATTCTAATACTTCAGAATCAACTTTTGACTTGAGCTTATATATGTTTCATTATTTTTTAGCTGTGATACCTGTTTCATTCTATTACTTTTTGTAATACCTTTCCAATCCCATTATTTTTGTAATACCTTTCTAATTTCATTACTTTTGTAATACCTTTCTGACTCCATTTCTTTTGTAATATCTTTAACTCTTTAATTTTTGTAATAGCTTTCTAAATCTGTTACTTTTGTAATAGCTTTCTAAATCTGTTACTTTGTAATAGCTTTCTAACTACATTTACATTACTTTTATAATATCTTTTTAAATCCATTTCTTTTGTAATACCTTTCTTACTCCATTACTTCTGTTATACCTTTCTAACTCTGTTACTTTTGTAATACCTTTCTAACTCCGTTACTTTGCTTTCTAGATCTTCCACTTTTTCCTCATACCTGTAAAGGACAAGATAGGCTAAATCCCCTTTTTGTCCCCCGCTTTCAATGAAAGTGGGGGATATTAATTTGGGTCTGTCTGTCCGTCCGTCTGTATTTCTGTCTGTAACACTTTCGTTTCCGCGCGATATCTCGAGAACCCTTTGAGCTTTCGCAATGAAATTTTCCATAACAACTCCCTTTGGCCTAAGGAAAACCCCTATTGATTTTGAGGTCAAAAGTTTAAAGTTCAAGGTCGTAAATTCAAACATTCCGTCTGTGTGTAACACTTTCGTTTCCGGACGATATCTCAAATGCTTTTGAGCTTTTGCAATGAAATTTGATGCCATAACTCCCTAGGGCCTCTCTCGCCCCTCTCAATGTGTCCCGCCCCGTTTTTTTAATTATTATTATTTATTGTATTAAAAGTCGCTTGGCACTATTTTTAGCACAGGGGGCATGTGGAGAGTTATTACGTATAATACAGGTTGTCGGCGGACTTTATATTCTTATAACACCTATTAGAACTGTTTAGTAAAGGCTAAATTAGACACCATGTATTATGTAAAATTTTGACAATATTGAATATGAATATGAACATTATATGTGACCTAATGTTTGCATCTAATTTCCTAAACAATCAAGTGCCTCCGTGGTCTAGGGGTATGAATGTCGCTTAACATGCGAGAGGTCCGGGTTTAAATCCCATACGAGTTATCCAGTTTGTAATTTGAAACGGATTTTCAATAATTAAATAAGCTAATGCTTTGCAATCAAATACAATGTACGGAAACACGCATTTCTAGTTGCAATTTACGTTTTCAGTTGTACCTTGCATTCCTCGAAACGTTCTTGTTTCTTAAGTTCATTAATCCTCATTTTTTTTAAGTTGGCTTTGAAGAGAATGTATTTTTTCTTCTGCTGTTTCTTGTTGTGAAGAGAAGTTACTATAAGTATTTATAAAAGACTACATTAGACCATCTCTAAAATAAATTACCCTCTCCGACTCCGACTGAATAAATTCAAAATATTTGGTAGGTACATGTAGGTAGGTAGGTGATTTTCTTTTTTTCTTAAAAGAACACTTGCGAATGTAAAGTTAAAAAAAGTTTTAAATTGGATGAGAAAACATCAGAATGAATTAAAAAAAAATCGCTTCTTGAGGGTAAAAAAGTTGAGAGTCGGGCCATTTTTAAAGGCATGTAAGTCGGTCAAGAGAGGGCAAATTTTAAATAATGTAAATAGGAGCATTTTTAACCCTTTTTTCTATAAAAAAAAACTTATATATATATATATATATATATATATATATATATATATATATATATATATATATATATATATATATATATATATATATTACTCATTAAAGCCATTTAAGGAGACATTTATGCATGTTTGTACCCGACCTGGTAAATACTTACCTTTCAAGCTTATAATCTTTGAATTTTTGTAGCTCGTCTTTTAAAAACACATTCTCAGTAGAAAGACTGCAAAATAAAAACAAGAGGCCCATGGGCCACATCGCTCACCTTGTAACTTTGGCCATGCTGTTCTTTACCAGATTTCCCCCCTTGTAATACCTATTGTGGCCCGCCCTACCCCCGGGGGTCATGATTTGAACAATTTAGAATCTACACTACCTCAGGATGCTTCCAAATAAGTTTCGGCTTTATTAGTCCACTGGTTCTTGAAAAGAAGATTTTTAAAGATTTTTCTTATATAATTCAATGTAAAACTTGGATTTCCTATTGTGGCCCCGCCCTACCCCGGAGGTCAGGATTAGAACAATTTAAAATCTACACTACCCCAGGATGCTTCCATATAAGTTTCAGCTTTTCTGGCCCAGTGGTTCTTGAGAAGAACATTTTTAAAGATTTTTTATATAATTCAATGTAAAACTTGGATTCCCTATTGTGGCCCCGCCCTACCCCGGGGGTCAGGATTTGAACAATTTAAAATCTACACTACCCCAGGATGCTTCCATATAAGTTTCAGCTTTTCTGGCCCAGCGGTTCTTGAGAAGAAGATTTTTAAAGATTTTTCTCATATAATTCAATGTAAAACTTGGATTCTCTATTGTGGCCCCGCCCTACCCCCCGGGGTCATGATTTGAACAATTTAGAATCTACACTACCCCAGGATGCTTCCATATAAGTTTCAGCTTTTCTGGCCCTGTGGTTCTTGAGAAGAACATTTTTAAAGATTTTTTCCTATATATTTCAATGTAAAACTTGGATTCCCTATTGTGCCTCGCCCTACCCCCGGGGGTCATGATTTGAACAATTTAGAATCTACACTACCCCAGGATGCTTCCATATAAGTTTCAGCTTTTCTGGCCCAGTGGTTCTTGAGAAGAAGATTTTTCAAGATTTTTCTTATATATTTCAATTTAAAAGTTGGATTCCCTATTGTAGCCTCGCCCTACCCCCGGGGGTCATGATTTGAACAATTTATAATCTACACTACCCCAGGATGCTTCCATATAAATTTCAGCTTTTCTGGCCCAGTGGTTCTTGAGAAGAAGTTTTTTTCAAGATTGTTCTTATATATTTCAATGTAAAACTTGGATTCCCTATTGTGGCCCCGCCCTACCCCCGGGGGTCATGATTTTACCAATCTAGAATCTACACTATCCCAGGATGCTTCCACATAAGTTTCAGCTTTTCTGGCCTAGTGGTTCTTGAGAAGAAGATTTTTTAATGACCCCACCCTATTTTTGTCTTTTCTTGATTATCTCCCCTTGTAAGGGAACTTGGCCCTTTATTTTAACAATTTACACTTCCCTTCACCCAAGGATACTTTGTACCAAGTTTGGTTAAAATTGGCCCAGTGGTTTTTGAGAAGAAGTTGAAAATGTGAAAAGTTTACAGACGGACCGACAGACGGACGGACGACGGACAACGGGTAATCAGAAAAGCTCACTTGAACTTTCAGCTCAGGTGAGCTAAAAAACCAAAGAATATAATATTACACATGTACGAAAAAACAGACATATATGTATTTGTGATAGAAAACAAAATATTACGTAATCATATGGGAAAGAAAGCTTATAGAAGTTGTTTACATTATCAATTTAACTATAGGGTAATCGTGTAATGTAGGCGTTATGCATTTTTCAGAGTGAAAGAGGTGAAAATAAACGAAGAATTTAGCTCTAAATTACCTCTCGATCTTCTTGTTCAAATCTTCAATTTCAACACCAGATCTAGATTAAAAATAAAAAAAACTTGGCAACATTAGAACATGTATATGCTATACATGTACATCTGGTTGACTCATAAAGCGGTGACAAACTATACCCCCTCAGTTCATAAAAGTTAGGGCTCCATTTTTGACTATTCATGCCCTCCATTTATTTTAATTCAGAATGCAAAAGTTCTTATCCTTTCTGTTCACAAACTAATGGTTTTAATTTGTATTTTCAATCATGATGCGATTTAAATAACATAGAGGTCAAGAAAACGGTTTCAAATTATTCTATTTGATTTAGAAGAAAAAAAATCAGTATATAGTACGCTTATATTTTATATGATGGATATATTTTGAATTAGGATATTATAATTTATATCTATGTGTATCTCACACTAAGAACTCAAATTTTAAAGAGTAGACATTTGAAACTGAAATCAGTGTAAAGATTTAGTTTTTATTGCGAATTACGATTGTAATTACTTTTTCAGCTGCTCATCGTATAGTCCTAAAAGGAAGTTGGTTTCATCTTCACTGAAATTATAAAACGTATAAGTTAGGCACTCACAAATATTTCAGTTTCTGTACTAATATATGGATTCAATGAATCATTAATTATATATAGAAATTATTTCATAATATACTACTCTAAATCGACGAAGATACATGTACATGTAATAAAGATAATGCTTAACTTCAGAAGCACATGTGTAATAAATATTAAGTAATAGTAGATTTACTTGACATGTTCAAAAAAAAAAAAAAAAAAAAAAAAAAAAAAAAGAACTGAAATTACTGTTGAACTGGCAGGGTAGTTTTTTGTTTAGAGTCTGTTGCGGTGGATTTTATTAGCTGTGGTTTACTCTTCTTGGTGGATTTAGTAGCCATGTTCAAGCTTACAGCTATTACAAAAAGACAAAATTAAGACGGTATATTAGAAGAAGATATTGAAAACGTATCAAAATATCTGTGGTCAGATATTTGGACTGATTTGAAACCATATTACATATATTAGAGGTTATCAAGGGCATTCGAAAAAATCGACAATTAAGTAAATGTTTTCGCATGAAGGTCTTTGAATTTAAAAAATACGTCAGTGATTCAAAAACTCAAATTTATCCCAAGAACACATCTTAATAGAAAATGAGTGACTTAAAAATAAATTCATTAGTTAAAAAGAAATTAAAAGAAAAAAAACCCCATTTTCTTAACATCAACTCAATTGATTTTCAATTTATAGCATCCGTAAGAATATTTTTTTTAAAAAATGCAAAGAATGGTTTAAAAAAAAAAAAAAAAAACAGCTTGATTATCGCTAGCCAATATTGAAAGCAATCGAAATTTGTAAAAATTAAATGTAAGTGTTGCAGTATTGAATAAAATAATATATGCATTATATATGTGTATGTAAATGTATTTTTAAAAAGATATCACTAAGTACGAACTTGGAAAATTTTTACCGCTAAAATTATGCACGTGGTGGAAGGGGGGGGGGGGGGGTAATTTCCTGTTAATAGAACATGTAACATAACAATATCGGTACCAAATCCATCAACTTCAATATCTCGAACACTCGGATATCTCGAAGTTTTTCCTCAGTCCCGCCAAGTTCGAGATATTGAAGTTTACCTGTATATTGTACATGTATATTTAAAAGTTGATTCTAATTAAATATTTTAAGTTACTCAAAATAAAGAAACCAAGAAATCAAATTTCCCCTCCATTCTAAAAGACGATACATGTATAAAATATTATTGGGATAGACGATAGTGGATGCATGTACATGTAAAATATTGAATAATTTTTAACATATAGTCGAGCCGATCTGTTGTTGAACTGGACTTGAGATACTGCTTAGGTTCAAGAAAGCAATTCCTTCGATTTTTCAAATTTATTGCCTCTGGGTTCAAGAATGCAATTCCCTCGATCTTTCAAATTGACTTTCTGAGATTATGGCCGTGATAAGGAATCTTATGCGTTATAAAGTTAAAAAAAAGTTTCATTTTGCTAGAATCCAGAAGCTCCTCGGAACTAAATACCCTCTAGGCCCTAGATGACAAGCTGGAAGCCAATCTTTGCTAGCAAAGGGTTTCCGATCCGAAGTCTCTTCTTTGTAAGATTTCGGATCGAAAACCCTTGGCTAGCGAAGATCCTGGAAGCCTTGATCTGAACTTTGTCCCCTGGGCCCTAGCTTGACCCACTGAAAGTCTCATGCAGGACCCCCCCCCCTCGCAGGGCCCTAGCTGGACCCCCTGGAAGTCTCATGCAGGACTTACCCCCCCCCCCCCAGGGCCCTAGCTGGACCCACTGGAAGAATAGCTAGGCAGCCCAGACCAATGTCAGCTTCTTTATTCAACGAGTGCTCTTTTATTTTCAATATTGCTAGCATTCCCTTTAAGAGCCTTGTAAGTACTCTGGTTTAATTTGTAAACATTTTATCTGGTTATCAGGTTATACCAAGCAAAAACTCTTGAAAACCCCTTTCAAATTTTCCAGATCTGCGCCTAAATATAAATACGTTAAATGTTTACATGTCAGTCTTGAATTAACCATACAAGATTTCCTTAATACATGGACAAAAGGTCTTACCATGAATGTCTTCTCGGCTTGTTTACAAACACCATAACAACACACGTTTTACGGAAGCATTAAAATGAAAGTGGAAATAGCGTAGGTCACGCAGGTCACCACATTCTGACCACGACGCTATGCGGTGCTTAAAATAGAACAGCAAACAAGCTATTTAAAATGTCTATATAAACAACGGAAGCCCAACAGTGCAATCCGAAACTGAATAAGAGATACGAAATTACAAAATAAAAAAAAGGAAATTAATAAATTTTAAAAAAAGAAAAACTAAATTATAAAATAAAAAACCAAATTAGTAAATAAAAAATGAAACTCCAGGTCAATAAAAACAAAATTATTGAATGAAAAAGAAAATAATTTAAATATGAAATAATTAAATAAAACCAAAATTCGGAATTTAAAATTGCGAAAGTCACCATATGGAGGAAGCTTATAGTATCTGCAGTTATGGCAATGCTTAAAACTTGTGTGTCTTATTAATTGCAGTTATCGATCATCGTTGATTAAAAAAAAGTTCCGTTAATGATGTACAAATTGTATCGGTTTCTAAACATCGTATTTTCTGCTTTATGATAAGAAAAACGAGTTATTCTTTAAAAGCAAAACGACAATGCAATTGTGTCGACTAAAATAAAGCCTAAAGCGCATTCATTTGTTTTCCAGTTTGAAGAATAATTGTTCCAAAAGGTTTTGATTAATTATAGAATCAAATGCATTCAGTTATATTCTTTCGCAACAAAAAATGAAAAAATAAAAAATAAATAAATAAAAAAGAATCAGTAAAAATGTCAGTGTTAACGTACTGCATGTAATAATTACAATCACAGAAGTAGTCTACTTACATTTCTTATTGAACTTTCATCAGAAAAAGAGTTGAGATAATTTTTATTACCAACTTTTTATATTTCTGATTGATTCTTAAATGTCTAAACATACAATCTGCGATCTTCTTGGTGGTATTGAATTACAGAAGTTCAATTCCTCAGCTCTTTTTTTGGGAACCTTTAGGAAAGTCCTTGAAATGTTACGTTTCAACTTTAATTTAGGATATGTATAATTGAATTTCAAAATATTCTTGCATTTTTAACCCAAATAATTTAGGTGGTTTGTGAATATAAGTAAAACAATTCCAAATACATATGGTGAGTTTTCTATATTTTCTTTAAAAATCTGTATGCGTCAGCAATACTTTTATGAATATTAAATGTGGTTAATGATACTGATATTCATTGAATTAGTTTTATCTAATTTATCACTTAAATAACAAGTGCTTGCATTTGAAAACTATGAATTTGTAATACAAAAGTTAAATTTTAACGTAGCTACGGATAGCGATCACGTGACATTACATGTGAATTCTAAATTCAGAATTTTTCGGTCCGCTTATTCCGGAAATGTGTCTATTTCAATATGGAAGACTGCAGTTGTAAACAATGTGCTCCGAGAAAAGTTCACGGGAATAGTTACAGGAAAGCTCAGCAGTAAAAGTAGATCAAGTTAATTAGAGCGAATGAGAGATAGAACATGTCAACAAACAGGACAACAATTATAAATCGTTTTTTTATGAAATGGAATATTTGTATACACATGTCGCAAACGACTTACACTCCTATTCCAAAGCAGACGACACGGCTGATGTAGATCATATAATGACATCAAATGGAACGAAAGACGAAGAGTTGTTGAGCTGAGGAACTTGGCAGTCCAGTTTATGTGCTTACAGCCACAAGATGAAGGCATTCATTTGCATTTTTTTTCAACTTTTAAAAACGTTGTTGACTCGGTACTTTATTGTATCAATACATTGGGCCTAAATGTGACTGATGATACTGAACTATTTGTGGATTTACCAACACTTTCCACGGGAAAGGAATACGATAGTGAGGCCTTTGATATCAACTCAAAAGTAGCTCTTGGTAAGTCAAATAAATATTAACACGATGTATATCTTCTGTCATAATTGTAATTCAGCATGAATATAAAACTTTCCCCTGGTAAACTCAGTGCATGTAAGGAACTGCCATTTGATTTGGGGGGGGGGGGGGGGTATGGGTGTCAGATTATTTATTAATATGCCAGTGAAGGAAAGATTATTTATTTTTATTTCCAAGATGATTGGGGACAGATTATTTTTGTTTTTCTTCACTGGAAAAAAACTTCGACAAGGTGGTACATATTGAAACTGTTTGCATGTTGTTTACTGGTCTGATAAAATTCAATCCTTTATTTTACTACTGCTGCATAGTTAGAATATTGGTCAGGCAGCACGGGTATTTCTCTTGATAAGTCCAGTTTCTGTGTAAGATTTTCTAGTTAAAAAGCGATTTTCCAATCAACCATAATTAAATTTTGTTTATGCCGGTATATATTTATTTGATCAATTTTTTTTCAGCCAACTTGATGGTAAATTAATTCTGGTATGGGACCATCCTATGTAGTAAATTTTTCTCAGCACCTATTGTGTCACCACATTGAAGAAAAAGAGATGTCGGCCTCTGTTGTGCAACCAGTCCAAGGAATTTTGTTGGATAGCTAGAGACGAAGAATGATAAACCGGACCAGTTGGAATGTTGTTTTGATGCTGAATAGCAGACCAGGGGGTGTTGCTGTTAGTATTATAGTGTCACTGGTAATTAAAGTCATCATTTGAATTTTGTTATGCCACAGTTGATAAGTGTAGAAAATTGGCAATTTATGGGGTGTAAACTTCTGCAAGTTATACATGTATCTAATTATACATGTTCACTGAAATTCTATATATAGGATACAGATATTTTGGGGAATATATTTTGATGTGGTCTCCACATAATAAAGTTAAATTTTATATTTCAGATAATTTTATCAAGTAAGTTGTATAAGATATATGCATGTGAGGTCCAGACCATCCATGCTGATAATGATTCAACTAGTGCAGCTCTAGTAAAGAATGACTTTCCATCTCTTCCAAAAAAGCAGGACAAGAATCACTTGATAAAACTGAACTAACAGTTCGAGACTACTTTTCTTGTCAATTTCATATTATCTCTAGTTTGAGTGTTACATCAGAAGTGGTAACAGACCACTCCACTTATAGGCTTTTATTCATTTTTCATGTATAACCTACTCTGTGAGTGTCATTTCTGGTGTGGTAATAGACTGCTCCACATGTAAACTTTTTTTTTAATTTTTCATGTATTATGTACTATGTGAGTGTTACATGTATGTGTGGTGCGGAAATAGGCTGCTGCAGACTATTCTTTTTTAAAATTTATGCATAATATACTGTGCAAGTGTTATGTTGGGTTCGGTAATAGGCCGCTCAACAATAGACTATTCTTTATTATGCATAATCTATGTGAGTGAGTGTCATGTTCGTTAATCAGCTGCTCCACAAATTCATGTAGACTCTTCATTTTCATATATTTACATTTGCAAATGTTTTCCCTTATATAACACTATTTGAACAAGGCGTTTTTACACCTGTGTAAAACACGTTCGTCATGTGACCATAAATTGATTGTTTAGTCATAAACGATCTACGTAATTTCATAGTGACGTCATAAGTGATCGACGTGTTCAACACATTCAAGTTATACCGTTGAGTTTTGAAAAAAATAAATCATTTATGGGTTTAAAACTTTAGTACCTTACTATCTGTTATAAATCAGTCACAAATGTAAATATAAGTAATAAGGTATCATTTTAAAAGTTTTATCGGGATGTAAATACGGGTTGGCATGTGATCAAATCTACCATAAAGCCCTTCGGGCTTTATGGGATTTGATCACATGACCAACCCGTATTTACATCCCGATAAAACTTTTAAAATGATACCTTATTTCTTAATTAACATATAAAATGTCCTGCATGAAGTTTTAAGTCAAGTGCAGTAATGGGCTGTTCTTATGTAGTCATTTTGTTTTTTAATTTTTATATATAATTTATGTTTGTCTCAGGTCAAGGTCCCTGTTACAATATATTTTCCTTTGACTAATGTTATTATTCTACCTGCTCGTATATGCTTGATTGAATGAAATTACTTTTGTTCAGTTTGAAAGATTGCTGATCATATTTTTTTATGCTATGCAAAAGAATTACGTGTATTGTGCTATGTCAAATTTATTGTTTTGTTTTTTGTGTGTGTGTGTGTTTTGTTTTTCTTTTTGGTCTCAGTATGCATGGACAAGAATTTTTTTTTTCTAACAAAGGTGCATATATTTGACATGTTAATAGATGTAATTAGGGTGTTTTTGACAATGCAATGAAAAAAAAAATAAATGCATATAATATGGGTGTTTTAAGTTCATTATAATGGTCATATTTGTTTGATTGGGAGAAGTGAAATACTTTAATTCAATCCCTACTTCTATTTAAGTGGAATATAATTTAAAATTGACTTGAAATAAGGTTTTTATAGTGCCAATTAAATATCTTATTGAGTCACATTCTTGTTTTGCATTTTTTTAAAAAGCACACCAAAGTTGATTCTCATTTTCAATTCTGGAAAATGGGGGGGGGGGGTTGGATCATTTGGTACCTTAGTTAATTAGCCCTCAATGTGGCAAGATTTTTGAGTGGGGAATAGAATTGAACAAATTTTTAACATAATATTATTAAAAAATCTATTTGAGCAGATTTTTTTTAGATTTTAAATAAGAAAATGTAGAATTTGTTTGCATGAAAGTACCCCGGTAATGAAAATTGTTACTAAAGATTGAAGTGTTTTTGTATGTGTTTTCTTTTAAAACTACATTTCTATTCAATGTTCAAGTAATCTATTGTTGAAATATAAATTCATATTTTAAATTTGTTTAGGGATTATTTTAAAAATAAAGCACATATCTAACAATTAATTTTTTTATGGATTATTTCAATATTGGATAAATTATGAGTTTTATAGTGAGGGGAGAGGGGAGGTAACTCATCATGTCATTACTCTGTGATTTCTCCTCATGTCATATAAATATTTTCATTAATCATTTATTAGTAATTGTTTTGTACTTCTGATTTATTTCTTCAATTTTTTTTTCTAATTAGCCTTGCAATTTTTTTAATAGCATTTCAATCATTATTCTTATTTTCATGACGGGAAAACAAAGGAAGGGGGTGTGGACCATT